CTGCCTCTTGGGCCGCCTCTGCGCAGATGAGGCAGGCGCATCGGGGCCCTTCCCGGCTAGCGGTCTGAGGCTGCAGCAGGACTGGCAGGAGGGAGGGCTTGACCCAGATGGTGTAGATCTGGACGCCTTCCCCGTCCTCCTCTGACAGCTCGCTGTGGTTGCTGCCTTCCTCAGGGGACAGAGGTTGCTCTGTCTTTTCTTCCCCTCGCCACTCCCCGCAGATGGTCCAGAGCCCTGTCCACGGCCCACTGAGAGCTTCCAGCTGGCTTGGGGAGGGGCTGGGGGGGCGGGCATCCGGGGTCGGGGCCTTTGGCCTGATGTACGGGCTGCTGATGCGGCCAACTGGGGCACGGGCTCTGACTGTGGCTGCTTGAAGGGCCCGGGGCTCTGCCCACGCCTCCCGTGGGACGGGCACGGGGAACCCCTTTTCTCCACTGGCCCAGCCTTGGTCTCTGCTGTTTTCCTCTGGGGGCAGCTCTAGGAGGCTGCAGTTGTCTGACAGCTCCTCGGACCAGGCGCCGTCCTGGCTCGGTGCCACTGAGAGGACGGCCTTGGCTGCCGTCCCTGCCCACTGCCCACTGCGAGCTTCCAGGTCGCTTGGCCGGGGGCTGAGGGCGCAGCGGTCTGGAAAGCCGTGCGGGCTGGGGGCCTTTGCCCTGGTGTAAGAGCTTGTGCTACTGACACCTGGGCCAGGGACTGAGGCTGTGCCTGCTTGAGAGTCCCAGGGCGTCTGTGCCCATGCCTGGCACGGGAGGGACACTGAGCTACATTCCTCCCCACTACTCCAGCTCTCCTCTGTGTTTTCATCTTCTGTTGATGGCTCGGGGAGGCTGGAGATATCCCAGAGACTCTCGTCCTCGGAGCAGGCCCCGTCCTCGCTCTCTGCCACCGGCAGGACTGCCCGCGCTGCTGCCCCGGCCCGCTGCCCACCGAGAGCTTGCCGATGGCTTGGGAAGGGGCTGGGGGGGCAGCAGGGGCTTTGCAGGGCAGAGTCCTGGCTCTGTGGCCCTGCTGCTGTGGATGTTCCTGCTATGGCTGCCTCCCTACCTTCTTCCACCTCCCTCTGCGGCTCCGGCTTCCGGCCACGGCGCCGGATCACAGCTGCAACCCCGCTGCGGGTGGCGCGTGCCAGGCGCTGCAGTGCGTCCAGCACAGCGCGGCCGTGGCCTCTGGGGCTGCGTGGGGCAGCTGCCTGGCTCTCTGCCCCTGCTGCTCTCTGCTGCTCAGCCACGGCAGGACAAGAGGCGCAGTTCCCCTCTTGCTGCGCTGCTGCCTGCGTCTGCCAGTTGTCCACCTGCGGCATGGAGGAGGAGGAGGAGGAGGAGAAGGTGGTGTGGGATGGAAGCGGTTGCCACGGCACATCCGACCTCTGGGTGCCCGCAAGCCCAGCCCGCCCTGGCACCAAGGCAGCTCTTCACTACCCTATCCCTCACCTTGTGCTTCCTCTGCCAGCTCGGCAGCCACTTGCGCGTCTGCAAGTCGCTGAACTTCTTCATCTTCCGCGTCGGCTTCTTCCTCCGCCGCTGAGGTCCCCGAGAGAGATGCTGCCTCCTGACACAGAGGCTCTCCTGGGAGTGGACACTCCAGGGCCCTGTCCTCCCTCGTTACCCTCCCGGTCAGGGCGGGGCCCCGCGGTGTCACAATGGCCTCTGGGCCCAAGGAGGTCCTGCATCACAAAGG